TCTCTCTCTCTCTCTCTCTCTCTCTCTCTCTCTCTCTCTCTCTCTCTCTCTCTCTCTCTCTCTCTCTCTCTCTCTCTCTCTCTCTCTCTCTCTCTCTCTCTCTCTCTCTCTCTCTCTCTCTCTCTCTCTCTCTCTCTCTCTCTCTCTCTCTCTCTCTCTCTCCCCCTCTCTCTCTCTCTCTCTCTCTCTCTCTCTCTCTCTCTCTCTCTCTCTCTCTCTCTCTCTCTCTCGCTTCCTCTCTCTGTCTCTCTCTCTCCTTCTCCCTCTCTCTGTCACTCTTTCTCTCTCCAACCTCTCCCTCTTACATCCGTTTTGTTATCTGAACACGAGCAGGTCGGTTGAATGTACATGTCATCACAGGTAATGCGTCATACTCGTCATACGACGCGTGTAAACACGAGAGAGAGAACGCGCGCATGGTCGGTACTAGTACTGTAGTTCTTTTCCCCCTCTCACTCCCCTACCTCCCCTCTCTCTCTTGCCTCTTTCGCCCCTCTCTCTCTCTCCCTCTTCCCCCTTACTCCACCGCTTCCCACCGGCGAATGCATTCACACGGCACACTATGCGGCAATCAAGTGTGAGTCACAGCTCTACATAAAACAGGTGATAATAACCATGTATAATAAACGACACATCGGAGGCGAAGAAATACATCAACGCCGTACGCAGTCCATCTGCCGTGCAGTTCATCAATTCGCGATCAGGGGGCAGGAGAGAGCACGCGAGCGCCCTGTCGCTGCTGTTAGTCACAAAATTTGTTAAAATTGTCACATTTAATGTTATAGCCTGTTGCTAACCTGCTGCTTTTCTGCCACTCTGGCTGCAGGATCGGATCCGCCTCACACATATGCACTCACACTGTACGCATTCAGCTCTGCTAGTCACTGAGGCATTAGTTTCGCAACTAGTCAATGCAATTCCGTAAACCTCTGCGCAAGATCAACCATTCGCGGGACTTCTCAGACAGAAGTCTTATAGTATGCGCCGGCAGATTTCAACTAAGGACGTAATGCGTGGGGACAATGCTCAGCCACTATCCTTTTGAGAAAATACGTGAAATGGGAAACTCTGCGATTAACGAGCAAAACAAGAAAAAAAATTAGCAAGCAGCTGGATGGCTTTCATCCGCAATTTGCAAAAAAAATTCTGCAAGTCACTTGCTTTGCTGTACTGCACTTGCTTTCAAGCACCAGGTCCTATGGTGAGTGAATGGAGAAGGCTCCCAGAAAGGCATCTACGAGGTATTATACGAGAGATCACGAGACATCAGCAAACACAAGAACATCGGAACACTACGGGCGCAAGAGACACAAGTCGACAACTCAACACACGAGAGAACGCCAACCGCCAACGCACCTTCGTCGTGGTCGCCGGCCAGGTCCTCTCCGACCTCGCTGATGACGGAGTGACGCAGCGAGTCGTGGCGACCGTCGTCGTTGTCGTCGCGCGACGTCTGCCACGCGTACGATCCCGCGATCGCATCGATGTTCACGTAGCTGCCGTCGGAGCGAGCGCGCCCGCGCATGATGGCATCGATCGCGACGGGGCGGTCGAGGTAAGGAGCGTCGGGTTCGTCGGCAGCGCACTCGCTCGCGCTCGAGTCCGTCGAGAACTGAGTGTCGCTGCGCTTCAGCCGGCAGGGGGCGTATGGCACGAGCACGTCCTCGTACTGCCGCCGCCGCCGCGTCCCCGCCGCGCCCTCCGCATAGGGGGCGCTGCCGCCGCTGCCGCCGCTGCCATCACTGCTCTCGTCCTCACGCAGCGTCTCGAGGTCGTCGATGAGACCAGCGTGCAGCGAGGCGTCCGACCCCGAGAAGCGCGTGTGAGGGGGCGCCACCGTCGCCGCGGGGGTCGGCGAGGCGTCGTCGCAGCGGCCGCCGGACGACGCGTTGAGACTCCGGGACGAGCCGGAGCAACGAGACGCATCGCTGTCGTCGCCGAGAACAGACTTCTGCTCCATGATGTCGACCTCGTAGTCGGGCGATGGCAGCTCCTTGACAAGCACGATGGCCGCCGCCGCGCCCGCGATCTGGTAGGTGGCGCTGACGGCGCGCCGTATCGTGTCCATTTCGGGAGAGGCGCCGCCGTCGGGGTCAGGGCTGGGTCGCGCGGCGGTCTTCGAGTGTTCAGCTTCGAGCGACTCGGTGGAGCGCGTCTGCGGCGTGTGCGCGCTGCTGTCTAGGCCGCTGTCGAGCGACTGGAACTCTTCGGTGATGTCTGCGCTGCAGCCTCCCACGCCGCTTCCTCCTCCGGTGCCTCCTCCGTCCTTCGCATGCTCCTGCTGCTGCTCCTGCTGCTGCTCCTGCTGCCTGTCGCTCGGCGATGCAACAGCATTATGAGCATCGGACGCTGGCGATGCGTTGAGGCTACTGCCGGTTTCCGGTGCCTTTCCGGTTTCCTCTCGAATGGCAGCAGCCTGGCGCTCGTTTTCCTTCAGTATTCGCTCCAGGTAAGCGAGCACGGCCCGCTCGCGCTTTAGGCTACTGTCCAGCTCGATGACACGCTTGTGGTGGCGCTCCTTCGCGACGCGGATCAGCTGGATGGTGTTCTCCGGTAGCTCCTTGTCGGGAAACCTCGCCTTCCACGCCTCGTAAAAGTCCTCCAGCGTCGTCGACATCACAGCGACGTACGCGTGGATTCTTCTCTCCCTGTGTCGCGGCGACGAATCCGCTTTGTCGCGCACAGAATCACACCGCCGGAGCCTGCTCTGTAACACACGGTGAAAGGTGACAAACGCGGATATTGGCAGGTCGACGGGAGCGTTCGCTGACTACGTCCGTCCGCTCGCCGTGCACATGTTGTAATGCGTGTTAGTACGCCGACTGACGCACTCACTCATGTGAAGCGCGAACGGCCACTAATAATGTAAACAAGCGGACCACCAGCGCCATCTGTCGATCAGAAAATGCAAACATTTATTTTAAGAACGTATAGCACCATCAGTAGAGATAGATATAATCATTCTTAATACGCTCTTGATATAATATACTGATTATTAATTATTATATATATCAGTAATATGTATAGACCACTGATTTCTATATAGTAATATAGTTAGCAGGTGTAAATAATAATAGATTATTATTAGATCTATTATTATATTCGCTCATGTATGATGTATCATGTAGTTAGTATCAGGAGTAGATAATAGAAGATCTTCTATTATCTACTCCTGTTAGTATTATAGAGATCAGTGGTATAGATGTGATACAAGGGGCGAGATATAAGATTAGGGTGAGGGGAAAGCGAACAGAAAAGCATTTCATTTTTACTAAACACAATTGTCCTATACTTGAATTCTAAAACCATATCACAAAATCAAAGGTTCATTTTTAAAAACATAATTTATTAGAATACTTCTAGATACAACTGCCATCAGCTTTGTTAATAAACCACAGGTTCCAATAACAGCCTTTTCTGATTACATCAGAAATGATGCATACAGTTTCAGATATTCTACCTGAAGAATTGGCTCATAATCATCGACTGTCAAGTTGTACTGCATGCAATACATGGTTCTATTACACTCCCCTCACATCACACATACCTACACAATACAAAACAAGAAGGTATTCCATTCTCTGCCACTCTCTCTCCCCACCCCCCTTCCCACACACACACGTACGCACCCCCACACACACGCACGCACGCACGCACGCACGCACGCACGCACGCACGCACGCACGCACGCACGCACACACACACACACACACGCGCGCGCTACTCATGTACAAATTCCATAACTAAATAGAATCAGATGATGTTTTTTCTACGTTGTATTCAGTCTTAGGTTGTGATCATGTAAAGTTCGGTATCTCATAGTGTCATCCTATTCCATAGTCTCTTATCATTAATTTGCTACAGAGACAGTAGCTTGTACTTTCTTCAACACCCGCACACACAGAGGAGTACTGGTAAATATCACATTTAATTCTTATGAATCATCAAGAACCCATTAACATGATAATGGGCATTAAATATCATTGACACGATTGATATCTGGATATTAACGAGCTCTTGACATCGCTCCAAATGCAACAATTGCATATTATCCACTGTGTTCAAAACTACCATAATCATTCTATATTTCTGTACAGTAACAAGATAATAAATTCCAATAAGATTAACCATATTATAAAAACGCTGCTTCGTGAAAATATCCCCCAAACTGGTCACAGTTAACCTCAGCTGATAAAATTATCTGCCTAGTGGCGCCACCTTTACACATGATTTTCACATCACTGAGACAAGAACGTCACGATAGTGGGCCGGGCAAGCAAAACGTAATTGGTGTTAGATGCTAGTAATCAGGCTTCTAAGTAAACCGCCCTTCTGACTGGTGTTAGGGAGCAGATACAATGCTCCTACAAGTTTGTATCATTAAAGATGCACGTGTCTTCCCAGTCTGAGAAACACTGCACAATATCCGCTCTAAATCAGGCCAAATTTTTGTCGAATGCGATTTCAATTTACAACCTCTATAGCTAAGTGCATGCCAATTGCATATTGAACTCGATCTCCATGCCACTGCCTTTTTTTCTAACAAAACAGAGGTCAGTATGTGTAATAGTATCATCTTTTATGCAGAAACAAGTGAACTTAAGGTGTGTAACACGTGTGTCTTATAACTGCAACTAAACGTTTCTCAACGAAATCAAAAGTACACAGGAATGACAGCACGTGGCAGAGACACCCTCATTGGGCAAGTTCCTTCAGACAACATCGCAGCCTGATATCGAAGGCCATCCACAAGGCTTTAGCCACTGCACAATCTTTCGCACTGCTTGCCTGAGCACTAACTATGTCCTAAGTTATCGGCACCACATATTTTAACTCTATTTATATATCTAAATGTAAATATATATGTACAAATACATGCATCTTGACGAAGATAAATTGGGAGATGTGTCACATGCGTGCTATCAGCACAACACTCCTTCCTTAGTGTGACCTAACTTATTGCCCTGCACCGGTTTGTCCCATGCAATGGAACGTCCGGCCTCCAATGTTCAACGTCTAGTAAAATCAGGAGCACAATACGTAAGATTCAGTCGGGCGACGAGCGCACTCTTGTTTTCACGTTGTCGGAGATGAATCTCGCGTCTGCCTGCCCTGGAATCCGATGGCTGCAGTGCTGCCCTCATGTGAGTCCAGACTAGATATGCTCTGTGTATCGGAACTTAGTACGGGTGCACCCATGGTGATGGTTGTAATGTCATTAACAATCATCTGAGCTATTTTCACTGCCATATCTTCCTTTTCCTAACGATAAAATTGTTAGACATCAATAATTTATTACTAATTCATGAAAGAACAAATGGAAAAACGAATTACAATTCAAATTAAGCAGCAGTGATACACAACACATTGCAGACAGATGAGTTTAATAAAGTACTCGTTTTTTGTTACATATCCGCTGACGTCAACTCTTATAAGGTAAAACAAATCTCAGCCTACCTTGTCTTCATCTTTCGTGATGAACTTTTTCACAGCCATGGAGATTTTGAAAGCTGAATAAACAGCAAGAGAAAAATCAGCAAATTAACAGAAGGCATACAACAAGTCTGTGCATGTGTCAGTAGATACTATGCTGACTCGCAATTGCATGACAACACAGCAGAGCAAAAGTGGTGCAAAACTTTAAAAAAGTTTAACTTAAAGTTTAACAAAGGTTTTAACTTGTCTTGCACAATAGCACACATTTACCAGCACAACAAAGTTTCCATAGAAAACAACGTTTTAAATAGTAAACGTTATATACATCATATGATGCAGAATAATAACTTGGTTGAATACATGGCTACATTCTTTGTTCATTATCAGATCGATCACCCTGTCACCTTGACAATTGCTGATGAATTTCTCAAAAACCTGTAATAGTAATAGTAATGTACCATGCAAGGCTTAAAAAATTAACATGCAATTGAATGGCAATTCCTACTTGATCCTCCAGATTAGCTACCAGTCAGTTTGGATGCATCTGCAGATACATCCAAACTGACTGGTAGCTAATCTGGAGGATCAAGTAGGAATTGCCATTCAATTGCATGTAAATTTTTTAAGCCTTGCATGGTTAGCAATCAGACGTGACAGAGTGTGTTGTACCTTTATCCTTGCGCCTTGGCTCCGGTTCAAAATCAGTGCAGTAGCGCCCTAGCTCGTCCATATGACCCAATGTCAGGTTGCTAAAATAAAGCAGGAAAGCATATTCATTGTAATGCCAGAACCTTTCTAATTCAAATGTATTTATAGCAGCTAACAACTACACAATAGCCCGTAAATTTATCCTTGCAACCAATGGCAACCTGTGGCTTTCTTTACAAAACCACTCGACTGAATAACACAAGTACCAAAAATATTAACTGGAGAAAATGGTTAGGATATATTTAGAGGAAGCTTGCACGATCAGCATCAGTAACAGCAGCAGCAATCATTCACACACAGTCTCTACTGCTTGCCTCACAATTCACAGAATATACCAAAACAATCAACAAACCACTTTCAGAAACATCGTAAACAGTCACGACACCATAAGTCAACACCGTCATAACCTCTAAAGCGCAATTACACGATTATCACAACCCCCTACGTTTCCGACGACGGGCCCCTTGACAGACTGCAGACCACTTCCTGTGCGTGTGCAGTGACTGTGTGTGAAATAATGCCCGCAGTGGCTACGTGTCCGGTCATCCATTACAAAGCTGATAGGCTTGATAAGCTGATAGTCACGATTAGGCCACGTCCCCTTTGAAATTGTTGATTTTACTGGATTTACTATTGCTTCAAAAGTTACAAAAACACATTTTTTTGATAAAATACCTAAGGATAAGTAATAATATGGTAAAAACTTATTGTTTATTGTTTTTTACTGGAAAAATATAGTTGGGTTCACATAAGAAATATATGACCGGACGCGTAGCCTGGGAGCTGCGCGTCTGGTAACCGGACGTGTAGCCACGGCCAATAATGCCGAATGAATAATGTCCGTTCCAAATGACGGGTATCCAGCGTCGTGATTGGCTCGCTCACCCTGCCTGCGGACGACTCCACAGCTTCTGCGGTGTCAGCTGTGCCGGGTCGATGTGGAACTCGTCCTCGATGCTACGCATGATTCGCCGCACTGCTTGCTGGTCGTGCGCCGAGCTCTCCATCGCCAGCAGCGTGTTCCGCGGCGCCGCGACGCCAGCGCCCTCGCTCTGCGTGCTCTGCTCGCTGCTCGCGCTGCTACCTGGTGGCGGGAAGAAGAAGCTTTGTGAGAATTGAGCAAGGACGAGCAACATCGGGAGGAGTTCGTGGAAAGCTCGTGCCTCTGAACGAAAATGCGTTGAGACGTTGTTTGATACTCTCGTCAAGCCTGAAGATTTATTACACATACAGCTTCCCAGAACTTTGCTGATTCCATTTAGTATTACAATGTACATGTATTTTACACATTAGCAGTAAGATGATAAAGGATCCTTATTTTGATCCCTTATTATTTTACTGCTGATGCAATGCAGATATGCACACTGCCAGACGTTTTATGTTGAGCATTAGGCCAGTAAGCCTTATGAAAAACAAAGTCACTAATCGTGGGGTACCATTTTAGAATGTGAACGCGCAACAGTAGCGGCAGCGCCACCTAGTTACCTGTCCGCGGCCGCAGCCTATTCCCAGGTGCCGGGTCAGTGTCGCTTAGCTGTATGGTGTTGATGATCTCTGTGAGGTATCTGAAGTAAATCTCACTCTGCAGGAATGGCTTCAGATACATCTGCAATGAGATCAACTTTGTAGGAGTGTGCAACCACAAGCACTAGAACCATAGTGCTTCTTTGAGTGTACGTACGCATTCATGCACGCTTGCACGTGTGGCTATGTTAATGTTTAATTGCATATGTGTGTCCATGCATGTGTGCATTTGTGTTGCATGTGCATGCATGCGTATATGGCTGTTTTTCCGTATTAAGCACGTATGTGTGCACATGCACGTCTGTGTATTTATTTTGTGCATCCATGCGTCTGTGTTTGCGTCCCATGTGTTGTTGCGTGCATGTCCTGGTGAATACGTGCAAAGAGATATGATATTTTCTAAGCATTATACAAGCTCGATGCAATGGCGCACGTAGTTACCTGGTCCATTGTGTGCAGCACAATCTTTAGCGGCTGGTCAAAGCAGTCGGGTAGAGGTCCGTCCTCACGACAAATGTTCGATTCCACCTCAAACCTCACGGCCTGGCTGAAGCCCAGCGGTGAGGTTGCCTGTAGTGAGAAATACCTGCCAAGGCAAGGCAAGATGTGGCATGTGATCAGTATGAATAGTAGAGAAGTTCACGCAAACATCATACAGCTTAGTAGAACTTGGTAATAAAATACGGTCATGTGCTAATAAAATATGGTCAATGGCTTAAATAGGTGATCTGACATTATTCGAAAATTATTCAGCTTAACCATACAGGTTATAAGTATAACCATGTTAAAGAACTCTAATATATGCCTCTATTAGGGTCAATAACTTTACATGTAAAGCCAAGAAACTTGATAGCATACGAATAGGAGTGAATAACAACACAATTTGTTTTTATTCACTCCTGATACTAACAATATAAATAGCAAACATTATATATATATATATATACATAACACATCTGTTACAATTATGGTGCAAATAGCAAGTTCGAATGCCTTTTGTTTCTGGCAATAAAAATGGTCCATTTATGTTACATGATTTGCGACCTACTTTTCATAGAGCACCATGGCATCGGCCTGCGCCTGCATGCTGTCATAATTTCCATCCTGCTCCTGTAGATGGCGGCAGAAGTTATCAGTAGCCATCCAAAACTCTATCAGTAGCATCGCATTCTCTTGCTCCATAAACTGCAATGTCAAGAGTTCATATCGAATAGATCAAGAGAGAGAAAGTGAGACACTTTAACCTAATACCTTATCGAGCTCAGCATCAATTGCAATCAAATCATATATTATATTCTGATGGCTTCAATAACTTAGTAATTATTCACTATGAATGCACACACATAGCACGTAATTTGCAACAAGGTAAATAACAGCTATCAGGTTAATAATTTGAATCTCATCTATATACCAGAAAATCCATGATTTCACATGAGAGGCTTGTGGTGACAATTTAATTCGAAACCATATACATTACTTTATTACCACATCTCATTCGTCCTTAGATTTCCTAATTACAAATAGCTAGACCAAAATAACTGCCTATATTATTGAAGAAGTGTAAGGACTTTACAACTTTTAACTGTCTATAAGTTCTAAAGAAAGAAAAAATACAAAATATCATGAAAACAAAATAAAGGTTTAATTACTAAAACCATTATTTCGAAATCATTGCAAAAAAAACGCACAATCTGAAAAAATATAGCGAAATATAGTCTCACCTCATAGCGGCTATATTACTGATTACACCAACTTAAAAAACACTAAGCATTCAAACAAAAGGGCATCTGATTCTGTGTAGTTTACTCCGTTTCTATTTTTAAATTGGCCGATATCTCGTGCTACCGCGAGATAGTCCGAGCTTTGCAAGAAATGGCGGCGATAATCAAAATGAGTAATCAAAACTCGAATCGTGCATGTTTTGGTGAATATAGCTAAGTACGAATGTTCTAAGACATGTTAGCGTTACTCTAGACAGTTGCTGTTACTCAAGCAATAACGGTAAGTATCGTATAAGTGGGGAAAACACAATCTTCAAAATACTGGCTTTAACCAGCATATATGAGTCCAAGCTAATATTATCATTAACCCATGTACAGAATCTATAACTGTAACAACTCTATTTACATAAGTTCAGGAGTGAATAGAAACCAATTTTGTTTTTATTTGCTCATGATAAATTCATTATTATCAGATATGAATAAGAAGTTAATTATTTCTATGATTAAATGTAAATGAACAACACGAGTGCTGATGTTTCTTACCTCCATGAAGTAGAAGAAGGCTGTCTCATTGTAGAGTAAGTCCTCCAGGTAAACAGTACCACTGGTTAGAACATCAATCTGATGCTTGCAATGATAGAAGCTCTGTTGGAACACAGGAAAGTACCTGCACAGCACAGAGATGCTGGTTAGTATCAACACTAATGCATACTATCGCATTGAACAAATAGGTGCATAACTATGTGGGGATTAGTGAAGTCTGCAATCAGGATACCATGGGTACTGACATGGATGGATATATGGGCTGGTGTCATTATATATATATATATATATATATATATATATACAGGGCATGAAATTCAGATTTTTTTGCACCGGCCCAGAGGGCTGGCAACAGCAGTTTTTTACTAGCCCTCAACATAATTTACCTCACAAATGTTGTAGTGTGCGGCATCGCGTAGTAGCTGTTGAACAGACTATAATGCAGATTGTGAATGATGTCCGAAGTGTTTTTGTCAATGTCATGTTTCACGCGTGCATTCTCGATTTTAAATTTGTAAAATGTTGATATATTATGGCGTGATATCCTTCAGGTAAAACAGTATTATAGGCTATTTGCTCATTAATGCTATAAATATAAATGTAGGTACTCGCTAACACGGCTGAAACCACTGGCTCGGAGGGCTGGTGTTTTGCCAACGTTACTGGCCCTCCAAATAATTTGCTGGCATATGCCGGTGGGCCGGTGCTAATTTCGCGCCCTGATATATATCATGATGTTAAATTTGTCTGATTTGTCCACAATTGCTATCATCATGCTACAAGCCATAATTACATGGGATACATTATTTTTATCTTGTGATGGACAGTGCAATTTCACACATTTCATCATTCTGCAACATTTCACCATTCTATTTGCATGCTAAATGTTCTTACTCTCTTATCATGATGTCAGACACAAAGTCCTGAGCTGCCACAAAGGAAGATGGATCGACCAATCCATCTTCCCTGCAGATCTTACCTGCAAATGTAGAAAGGCAGTTTATTACCCTATAACCTCTTATACTGAACAAACAAATAATGGAATGCACATGCATACGGTTAATCCTTATTTACGAGGAATGTGAGAGGCCAGCTTGCTGCAATACAAGCGAGCAATCAAAATGCAAATTCTGTATGAAAATTAAAAATCCAAGTGGTTTTCATGATGAACCTGCATATACTGGAATACAGCATACATAGATTCATGGTTTTACTCGAGCAAGGGGTAGCCACCCATGTACTATACATCCGACAGCTGCGAAACAATGGCAGACAACAAGTTCTGAGAGGTTATGCATCGCCGGTCAAGGCTGTAGGATAATGTCAAAACTCAAAGTAAAACGACATATAGACAAGTAAGTGTTGCACCGTGAGGTCACTAGGTCAATGCTCTGGTGCTGTGATGCACTCTATCTGCTTTAGACATTCTTGTAATGAAAACTCACCTGAACTAATACAGTGACAACTACCACGAGAGACACATGTAGTCATGGCAATACACATGACCGCTGACCTAGTTAATACTGAGATGATCCATGATTTCATTTCGATTGCACATGTATATTATCAAAACCGGACCTACGTATTTACATAACCTGCACTTCACACATATAGACACATTAATATGCCATGTAATAAAATTAAAATTAAAATAACTAAAGGTATAATACCTTATTAAAGGCAGTTATGTGCAAAAAATGCATTATGGAAAGGCACTGTATTCAAAACAAATATTTACCATAAAGATTGTCAATGTGAAATGAGCACATATATGCTGTTCTGTTTAATCACTACGAAAGCCATATAATGCATGAAAATACTTTTCTGGATATTTTTTTATGTATTCTTTGATTTAAGATTTGAACGTTTCCACGGTTGTTTCACATTAAGTTGGCTTGCCTTTAGACTAGACCGCTCTAACCTACCCCACTCTATAGCTAAAGTCAGCTAATGACAAATTTCATGCACAGTTGATCATACTCTACAGTGCATGATTTTTGGTTAAAATGCATGAGGTACCACGCACATAAACAGGCTTTTCACTTGCTGCAAGTACATTCAGACCTGGGGGCACATATTTTAAGTAAACAATGTTGGAATGAGTTTGGATACTCATTGTGTAAGAATATTATGCTGACATTAAAATTTTGCTCCAGCCAGTGAGGAAAAACTCCCGTAACGGAGCAAAACCTACCACTGCGTAAATGTGAATGCGGACAAAGTGTGGTATTTAGAATCCAGCTAGTTCGACCCCCATACCCAGGTTTCTGGGAAATAAAGAGAAACAACATGAGCTAGCAAAGTTTGCGTGGCATGAGAATAAGAAAACTGACTGTAACGTACGTATGATTTCATTTCGAATCCTATCGCCAACTCCGATTGGATCACTGGCGTCTTGTGCGATGAACTTGCTATACACTAGCATGGCATCTGCTTCTATACCTACAGAGTATTGCAAGATAAAGATGTCACCAACATTTATAAATGTGCCTGAAAAGGCAAACTGCATTAAATCACTCAAGCTACGATCTTGAGACAATCCACACATCTCCTAGAGATCGTTAGACACAGACTATGACCGACGATAAACTGCCCACAAGACCTCAGCGTATGTATTGCTAGTGGTTACCCGGCATCAGATGCTTCTCTCTGCATACTGTATATCGTCACATCAGATCTCGACTATAAAGGTGACAGCTGTGCAGATGAGCAGGAGCATACATGTGGAGTGAGTGCGGCCAAAGCAGAAAGATAGTGATCAGCTAGGCAATTTTCTTTGGCAATCACCAACACTTTAAAAACTCACGTTTACTGCATCTGCTGCTCTGCCAACAAGCGATCACTACGATATCTGCCACGCTTGATAATATTATCAGCGACCAGAAACGTTGCCAATCGCTGCCAGAAACAAATACGTTCATCTCAGATGTTGGGGGGAGAGGGAGGGGAGAACAATTTCCAGCAACGTCTTCCAACACACACCTTTTCTCAGCTTCTCGGCAATGGCGTCTCCCTTCACGTTCAGATGCAGTGCCGCGTCCGTCCGATTCGGCAGCGTCTTTGCATCCGACGTCTCGCCGGCACACCCGCCAGCGCCCTCGTGTGGCGCGCCACTCTCGCTGCACAAATTCTGACCGCGGGCGGCCGCCGCGAGGCCGTTGTCCGTCAGCGCGGCATCGTGCGCCAGCGCCGGGTCCGTCGCGCCGTGCCCGTCAACGCTGCGGCCGATCGTGCTGCACTGGCCGAGCGTCGTGCGCGTCATGCAGTTGAGCGCGTGCGTGCGTATGCGCAGCCATGTCGTCGTCTGAAAGCTGTCGGCGTCGAGCCAGAATCGGACAAGCCGGCCGGCGGCGCGCGCCTCCATGAAGCGCACGTAGTGGCCGAGCGCGTTGCGGTCACGCAGCACCTCGTGGTACGCCTTCGAGAGCCGCGAGCTGCGCTTGAGCGTCGACAGCAGCGCCCTCTGGCCGAGGTCGCCGAGGTGGTCATCGATGAGGAGGCTGTGCTGTTGCCGGGAGGACTTCTCGCGCGCCTGAGCGGGTCCGAGGATGCTCTCGGGAACGCCTGAAACGTTTGTGTCACCTTACTGGACATAGAAAACCTTGAAATCTTAGAGTTTGTAAACAACATTTAATGAACGAAAACGTGTGGAATTATAACAGTATACATATATTTGTACCACTCTGCATAATAGCACAAACACATTCATACTCATATGTTTATAAATACGTTAACATCAATCATAATGTAATTGTTTTATTGTGAACTAGCACCCAAAATGCGTACCACAACTGCTAATGCAGATACTACACGGAAGTAAATTGATGTTCACTTATATTCTTACCAATGTCACCATTGCAAATATCAGGACCACTTTGAACCGATGACTGTAAGGCGCTAGAACTGTGACCTGTCTGCTGATAGCCAGATGGAGCCACTAACACAGGTGGTTTCCTTACTGGTGATGCAGTCACCTTATTCTTGCTTTTATCTGAAAATCAATGAAGAAACCAATAAATTACATATAATTAAGGTACCAATATGTCTATAGCTTCAACCATATTATACTCTTAAATTTGTTTAAGGGGAATAGCATAAACTGTTATGAGATCGGTAATATATGATCCAATATAAAACCAAGGTACTTACATTTTTCAAAAAACAAGTCGGATATTATAACAGAAATACGACAGCTGTGTTAAGCAGTAAGTCTACTGCTACTGAAACTTGAGACAAATATTGTCACAGTGTGAAAATTAAAGTTTCAGACTAACCGTCTCCGATAGACTTCAGGTCATAGCTAGTTTTGTTACACATGTCACATGCGTACTACACTCAGTACAGCTCATAGGGTCTATGTCCCCCAGGGTACTGCCGGAACGTACCCTGGGTACCCTGCGTACCGGCCGTATACCAGAAACGGTACCCTGGTACTATCTGCGATATGGTTAGGAGTAGGCCGGTAAACAACTCCCTAGAACTCAGTTCAGTGGCAGGTAGGCGGAGTAGCGGTCCGGCATATAAAATAGTTACCATGGTATACGTTCCGGCTATACCGGACCGTACCCAGGGTATGTTCCGGCAGTACCCTGGGGGACATAGACTCTCTCAGCCTCAGTACACTGTGTAGTTAGTCAACTTAGTGAGCAACATACTGCATGACATTTTGTTGTTTACACCAGTCACAGTAATTCTAACTTGAATGACACAGAGCAGATAGCTAACATGCCAACTGCCTGCAACCTGACACAGCATACTCAGATATGACTGCTATCCACAAGGAACAACACATAATTTATAGGTAGGTGTCTAAACGACCGGACCCGGTTTTCGGAGGCCTGAAAACTAAACAACCGGCTTCTTCGTTCTCGATTGGTTCAGTTACCCGACATAACAGAACAAATATAAAGAATACTACGACAATTTTTTAATGCAAACATAAATATATTTAATCGAACATAAACAAAATGTTACGAAGCAATCAAATAATGAGCATGCGAACAATAAATGCGACAGAAAACAAATTAAAATTACAAAGAAATACAGAGATGCACGAGAAATAAAATCAAACCCTTTATTTTTGGGGTGGTTTGTTTTGTTTGTTCGAACACGGTCCCTTACTATCACGAACGCGAAAGCGCTACCGTTGAGACACTGAAAACCAACTTGAAAGTGAGAGATATAGACCTAACCCCTAACCATAATCCTTAACCCTAGCCCTATTCTAAAATGAAATAAATTAGCCAAAAATAATAAAAAAAATAAATAGTGACAAAATTAGACAGATCAGAGAACGAGAGCCGGTTGTTTAGTTTTCAGGATACAAAACCGAATCCGCGGTTGTTTAGACACTTCCTACTTTATATTATAACGACTAAATCAAGTGCTATAGCCACATTCACTCTGCAGAAAGTAGAAGTAGTACCTGTACGTGTAGGTTAAGGTTAGATGGGTTGAAGTTTAGGCCTGGCCTATTATTATACCATACTGTCCAATGTAAGTCTAGTTTGTTTTTAAAACAGTTGACCGTCTTGGCCTCGACAACAAATGTTGGCAGTGCGGTTCCACGCATTCACACTCTTTGGCTGAAGAAGTGCTGTCGCATTACAGCCTGGATTCCAGTGTTCGAAATTCACGTGCGGCCCGTCGGCCGCCGCCGGCAGTTTCGATGCCGGCCTACAGCTTCTTGATCAACAGGCCGCTGATCCTACAGCCTATTTGATCACCGAAATTCGAAACACTTAAGAAACTGTTACCTGTAGAAATCTGTTCATGCATATTAACTCCAGGCGTATTTATTTGAAAACTAATCAGTGATAAACCGTTGACATACATGTAAACAATGCGTTCGCCCACTGCGCAATCAAACTTTAGTTGGCATTCAAAGAAACGTGCGTGCGGATGTTCGGACGCACAGGTTTAGCACAGGTTCCCTGAATCCAGTAGCAGCGTTGGCATCGCCTCACTGTTCACGTGCGCTAGTTGTTGGGAGTAATTCTCACATCCCCCGGCATTTCACGTTTGGATGTAAACAATAAAGTATCACTGGTAGTTATTTACAAACGATCAGGATACTGTTTTAAAATATATTAAGTAAGGATTTAGGTAATATTAATCATGTTGAATTATACAGTAAATAATAATAATTGCTCTCAAGTTTTAACACACGATGCTCAGTAAGGTCACTGTAGCATGCCAAAGCACGTCCGTATTATACTTACTAGTCATGCAAACAGCAGTACAGCCTCGTCGCACCACTCAGGTTTAAACCGTGTCATATGTTTTTAACGTTTGGAAAACTATATACATTTTATACAGGGTTGTAGCTAAATAAAAGCTTTCCTACGTAAGAGCTTGTATGTATACAAATACATTACTTTTGACACACTCAACACAGACGGAATTCGCCCAGTCCCATACAAAATTTTACAGTAGATTAAATTTTACATAATTTTTTCCTTTATCACCAAAGTGTTGCTAGTTGTAATGAATGTATTGGAGTACCTGAAATGGCTCTAGATTGCATCTCAGAGCTTATAATTTTCAAAACGCTTCTGGGCCCCCCAGACCCCCATAGACAGGTCCCCCGATGTGTACCAGGGACTACAGTCTCTGGTCTCTCTGCCTCGTCAACGTGGGAGAGTGCTAGTTACAAGTGAGCTAATATTAACACGAGGTCGGCGTTATCCTTATTGTTGAGCCCGACAAAGGAAGCATAAACAGTCATCCGACGAGGGGAAGGAAAACAGTAGGGCATTATGATTATGGACGATTGTAATGACTAATAACCACAAGGAAGAACATGATATGCCTGTTTTATTCTGTTAATTTGCTCCGAAAATTGGCGGGCTTACAGCTTTCGCCTGGCGCGTGCCTGCAGCTTTTAGGAGCTATAGGCATGCCAGGCCATACAGCTTTTCTGCTCAGGGCGAAACACATCTGGCTTGGACGATCTGCAGCGATATTCCGCGCGAATGCGCTCAAACGCCATGTTTGCAATTTTCGTGCCGCCTTTCCAGACGTGTACAGTACGGCGTCTTCTAGGAGTAGGTCTGAAAGCGGCTTATCCTTTTCGCTCTGTTCGCAGTTCTGCCATTGCACGAGGGATCGCACTACCCAGTTAGGTAGAGACTGGATAGAACATGTCTCTCAGTATCTTCATTTTTTGCATAATTTTGCGCGCTTTCTTTTCTGTATACGGCAGTTTTTTGATTCAATTTAACAAATATATAGCGCTGATGCGTTAGCCGGTATGACGGACTGAGCCTTAGAGGATGCGATATATAGGAACAATACAACATGTTCTCGCTATTGCGTAATAATTCCAGTATACAGTTGTGTTTCATGTCACTCTTATCTCGCTGATTTGTTATCTCTGCATAAGCTTACACTCCTCATCAATAAAGATGTTCTCACATTGGTGGCAGAAGGCCTAACTGTGACACGTGGGAAGCTTGAACTGTAAGATGTTCCGCATAAGGCAATTCAGTGAAATTCAGGCGTGCGCCGTCTCTGGACCGGCCCAAGGATAGAGATATCCGGTCCCATAAAACCAATGTGCCTCGTAACTCGTGCTTCTACAGGCACCTATATACTATATATGATATTAACACGATCCCCCATGACGGCATCGAATGGTCATCCACCACCTACGAATTACTTCTATTAACTACAAAGTACATGCTTACATAGATTACTAGTAATATACTAGTACTACTAGATGTACCAGGACCTACTACGTATACTAGTACTAGTACTCCATTCTCAGCCGGTTATATGACAAACTGCTGGTTACGCGTACTAGTAAGTTACTATATTAATAATGACGACTCTGTTAGTGTTAACTAGTACTCTACTAAATATAATAATAAACTATGCTAACTATATGACCGAAATCATTTACTTACCCAATCTTCATGTTTCTATAGCTAGCCTATCTCTTTGACCTATATTGGCCGAGGTTCCTGTAAATTCCGTCGAGATCTACGTCACAACGTACGCTGCCGGCTGCCATTGCTCTCGCGGCTCGCGACTGTTGGACACGCTTACACTAATATACTATAGCAGGTGTAGGCAAGGTTAGCTGCCAATCTCGCTCGACGTCCTTCATTCTTTGAAACTTTCACAGCAGCGAATACACATTCAACAGCTTACTTCTTTGTTTCTCCTTGAACTAACAGTATTCACTGTATAATAAAAACATAAGTCTCTGCTTCGTAGAGCTATGTCAGGATACCATCGCATGTACATGCGAAATCACAACAAGACTGACGAAAATGTCTCGGTCATAGCTCTCAGCGCTGCATACTGTCGTGGGACGTTCCCGTGGTCGCGTGCGCCTTGCCGCGGAACTGCGCGCAAGATCTGCGCTCAGCACTTCGGGTCAACACCTCCTTTCGGCAACGCTTCTCTAGTATCCCGTCTCATCTGGATCTATTTTTGAATAGTTTCAGAGGATTACCCCTGGTGGTTCCGGTTGCCAGTGTGAAGAATTGGTTGCTATTACTGTTTTCTTTGTCTGTTAGTGTTAAAATTTTGTAAGTTTCGATCAGGTCTCCCCTCTCTCTCCTCTGTTCCAGTGAATATAGACCTAGTATAGTGTACAACTACTAGAGTTCAAAATTTCTAGGTCAATAGCTGTGCGAGACTCACCGACCCCTTTTCTTTCCAATAAGTTGGAGTCTGTTGGACTATCATAAACCTCAAATTAACTCAACCAGTTTTCGCGAAGTGTAAACAGTGAACAGCTGAGTACGTCTCAAGAACGAAATATTTTTGCTATATTCGGCAGCTTACCTAGTCGGCGTTTGAAGAATGACATGGTCTATAGCCTATATAAACAGACTGTCATTTTTAGAAATTACATCCCCTTCTCCATAATATATAATGTGGATAACATCTCCGATTACAATGTTAATTTTAAGGAAGTTGATTCGATACGGAGGCTGCCATATTGGAACTTGCACCGCCCATTCTCGCGAGAAGTGGCGCGAGCATGAAACATACCAAGAGTAGATAATAACACATTATGTTGTATTATATGTAGTATATATATAGTATACACATTTATTGTGTTATTATCTACGCTTGAACATACCATAAATATTTCATGGTTTTTGCGATATTCAGCGTTAATGGTTTAGTTACTTTAGTGGGCCAGCTATCACAGTATCAATGTAAAGAACATGTTAAAATAATATTGTGTAGCTCAGGTTGGCTTTACATTGTATTCAGGTGTGAGGAGTAAATTGATCCAGAAATCAGAAGTGGGAGAATAAACTAGTAATAATAGTCATCATCAAGGAGCAGATCATATGATAGAAATATAATATAGAAACACTAACAGTAACACGCACGCACGCACGTGTACGCGTGCACACCCACGCACGCACGCACGTGTACGTACGTGCACATGCCCGCACATGTAGGCCTACGTGCACATGCCCGCACGCCCGCACGTGTACGTCTGGATCTGGATAGTTTACTGCGTAGCCCACGCTTACGTGGATAATAACGCAGGGACGTACATTCCGTAGGCCCCCTAAGGAATAAACGTCCAGGGCTATATAGCTACTCATGGGGTGTGACCTAGCTTAGGTAAAGCCAGGTAAGTTAGCCTTTTAGCCGAATGGCACTGAGGGTGGTCACAGCCAGAGTTTTTTTAGCGCCCTTAGTGGTTCTTTTACGTCCAGGCGCGCCGGAATAGCATTTTGATTGGGGGGGTGCAAAGACCTAAGGGCTCACCTTTTTTTATCGTGTTGTGCTGAGCGCTGTGCGCGACATGTTTCGACGTGTGCGCTGAAGCCGCGTGTGTGCGACTGTGTGCATCAGCGCGTGGTGCGACGTCGGTTGCGTGGACGCGTGTGTGCGTAGCGCGTATTGGTCACTTATGCTGCGTGAAGCGCGTCTGGCGCGACGCATGTTGTGAACGTGTGTGGCGTGCGCGTGTACGAAACTTTGTCGTGAAGCGCGTGTTGCGATGTGGTCATTGTGTCATGACGCGTGTTTGCGTGAGCGCCATGTGTTGAGACGGTTGTGTGCGTGACTCGCGTGTGGCGACGTTTTGCGTGAGCGGCGTGTGTCGATTTGGCGTGCAAAGCGCGTTGTGCGACGTGTTGCCGTGAGCGCGGTGTGTGCAACGTGTGTGCGTGACGCGTGCATGTGTCGCCTGGCGTGTTGTTTCGTGAGTGCGGCTACGGGTCGACTGTGGCGGACCGCGTGTTTGCCGTGACGCGTCATGTGCGCGGCGTGTGCATAGCTCGTGTTCCGAAACCGGCGTGATCGTCCAATCACGCAAAGCGCGCGCCGCGAAAACTAAAAGAATGATAAATTATTTTGAACGTAAGAATAACAATCCTAATCATACATCTTATTTTTCTTTCCCATCTCTTTTTTGGGTGGAGATTTTGGTTTGCCCTCCCCCCCACTTTTGGATTGGAGAAGGCCGGCTCGACGGAAAGCCGCAGCCGCGCGCAAAAGAGACGAGCCGCGCATACCAAGGCGGTAGACCTAGTAGCCGACCAGATGAGAAAGGCTACGTGAAGAAGTAGCGAGAGAGAAAAATAAGTCAGCGCAGCGAGGACGATGGATCGACGAGTAAAAGGGAAGTGCGCCCCCGCCCATTTACCGAGGCGCCTCCTGTTGAAGAGCAAACACACGCCTAACTTGCCGAGTATTAGTAATGAGGTAGAGGTCTGTCTAAAATGTCCCCCGGGTACTGCCGGAGACGTACCCGTGGTACGGTTCGTATCACGAAAGATAACATAACACGATACGAGGCGTACCCTGCAACCATCGGAATATGCCGATCCGCGTACCACTCGCCCTACCCACCAACCGATCTAAGGATTCCCGCCTACGCCTACCCCTCAACCTCTACAACCCAAACCTGAACAACCTAACCCTAATCCTACACCCAAACTATATCAAATAGTAACCCAGGACTTTCCGCAGTACACTGGAGTACAATAGACCCTAATACTTACTGACTGCAGACCGGACCGCCCAATTTATAACGTGTCATCCGACCACGGGAAGATCAACCCAATTTTGAAACCACTACGTTTATTTACCACCCTTGAGAACCAATCACGCGAATAATCATTTCGTGCGCGTACTACGTCAGCACGCACCGCACCACTTCTCACTACACACGCACGCACGCACGTGTACATGAACACGCACGCACGCACGTGTACGTACGACTGTACGTGAACACGCACGCACGCACGCACGTGTACATGAACACGCACGCACGCACGTGTACGTACGACTGTACGTGAACACGCACGCACGCACGCACGTGTACATGAACACGCACGCACGCACGTGTACGTACGACTGTACGTGCACACGCACGCACGCACGCACGTGTACGGACTGTACGTGCACACGCACGCACGCACGTGAACGACTGTACGTGCACACACACGCACGCACGCACGCACGCACGCACGTGTACGACTGTACGTGCAGACACACGCACGCTGCGGCACGCACGCACGCACGTGTACGTGCACACTTCTACTTTCATACTGGACAGTCCGTGAGGAATAACGTCCAGGGAGTGCGCAACTCCAGGTGCATGTGAAAGATTAGTATAAAATATTTTTAGAAAATGTAGACAGTAACGTGTTCCAGAGATCGAGGCAAATTTTTTTCAATTTAATATCGTATGTTAAGGTGCACATTTTAAAGGTGGTGTAAGACTGCATTGGCCATTCGGGTGGTCTGAGTGATGTGAGAATCCCACAAACATTAAAAATAATATGAAGGCTTCTTCATGGAAAAGGCTGTATTCAGTACATGTACTTGTAATTGAATTAAATGCCACAAAGCTTTAATAATAAGAATAATAATAATTGCAATTAGCAGTGCAGTTATTGATAGGCTTTCACAAATATACATTTTCTCAATAAATCTTTTCTTCGATTTGTATTTACATTATTTTACTGTTATATTATTCAGACTTGTCACATTGCATAGCAGCAGCAATACTGGTAATGCTGGGAATCCTTACATGTAAAGCACGGCTGCCTGGTTCCTGGATTTCATGAATGCCTGATTTAGGATGTGGCTTTCCTACTTAAATTATACATTGACATTTAACATAATATTAAATTTTACATTGCTCTTGGCCTATACATGAAGATATTGTAACTAGAATAACTTGCCAAACTATAGTAATTGTAGGGATTGTGATGTGATGGTGATATGCCATGATAAACAAAATATGCAAAGGATTGTAAATTGCAAGCAAAAATGCTAGTTAGTGATATCTTCGCAAGTAAGCTAATATATAAAAAAAAAGTTGAAACAAAAAATCATTTAAAATTTTTTTATTTTAAAAGTTCATTTACAGAATACTCATATAATTTTTTGTTTACTTTTGTCAGCTTAGAAACTTCTTGCTGTAAGGTAGCGACCTTTTCTTCTAGTGACTCTACTTCATGGTCATTCACTTGCTCGGACACCTACATTAAATACCAAAACAACGTGTGTAAAAACATTTCAGATATTAATTAGTATAGGTAAAGACACACGTACAGAGGAAATCCAAGAATATACATCAACAAGAATAAAATCCAGCTATCTTTAACAATATAAGATAAATAAAAATATACCCTGTGCAAAACAGCTTCCATCAACGAAGACACATCTTCAGATTGTGACTGAAACATAAAAAAATATATAAATTAATGTAGATTAAAGAAAATATCCTTTCATTAACAAGTTGCCGGTGATTATGATCCGTACTATGGAAACGTTGACCACTGCTGTTGTTCTACTGAACGTTCTCGACTATCTGTGTCCATGATCATACTACATAGTTCACCTCCTGCACCCCAGAGAGGCAGACTTTCAGCACGTTTGATTCTCCGGTCTCCATCTGTCGTTTGAATGTCTGGAAGGGTAGACGAGGCTTTGCGTTGGGCGTAACCAGGTTTATTGGCGTTGGTACAATCACGGCGTTTGTGACCGGCCCTAAAGCATCAAGAACGTCTTGAGATATATACACCGATTCAATGATATAAGGCAAATGCGACAATTAAAGTATTGACACTATACCTATAAATACAATTCAGACAAGTCCGGCTTACCATCTTGCTCGATGTCAAAAAACTAATAATTAATTTGGATTGTTTTCCATTAAAATTGGAAATAATTATAATTAAAAATAAGATTGTTAGGATCTGAAACGGGTACCTTTCGAGAATCTGCCAAACGTGCTTAATTCTGCTAAACAGTGTGGAAAACATTTTCCCTTTGCTATGTCACTTTCTAACAGTTTGTAGGCTTGTATAAATTAATGAGCATACCTTTGTGTGGAAATGTTCGGATGCACTGAGTACTACTGATGTCCCATAGCATTGCTGTGCTGTCTTGTGAGCCTGACAACAAAGTGCTGCCATCTAGTGTCATGCTTAGAGAGGTTACTGCTTTACTGTAAAATATAACGATGAGTAGCTGATTATGCATTTAGTAGCCAAAATAATAGATACGCATTAAATGATGCATTATTTTATGTTTACAAACATAAAATCGTGTAAAAACTGCATTGGTTAATGTATATTAAAGCAACTAATCTCAGAAATGAACTGAATGCCTACATCAGGAATACATGACCCTCTCATGTATATAAAATTGTAGCACAATAACCCTTCGCTTGAATTAGTGCATCTGTAAATGGTGAATACGACCATCATAAAAGCATAAATATGTGAAAACCTATGATACTACTACAAAAATGGTATAGAAATAGTAAACAGTAAATAATTGAATTCTAATATTTGGGAACTGCATGTACACTATTAGAGAGACTTTTGACAGTTACCTATGACCAGTGAACACGTGAAACTGTTCCTCATCTTCTTTTCCTACATGTCGATCTGTCCTAACGGGCTGTAATGGCATAAATTTAAGATGAGATTAAACATTGCTGTATTCATCATACATACAGGCAAGTTGGACACCGCCACATAATCGGGTGAAACCATTGGTTGGTTGCACTCACCTGCGTAAAGAGATGTGCTTGGAATATCCGTCCATCTACACCGCCTGCAAACAGGCTGTACTCTGCTGGGTCCAGACGGACAGAACTCAGGGGCACGTCGAAGGTAACAGAAAGCAGCAGATATCCCGATGCCAACTCATACAGCTGCAAAACGAAAACTCTTAAAAGCTTGCAGAGCGTTTTTATACTTTCCCTAAAAGAGAACTGCAGCTGAGACTGCAGGCAGCCACCACAAAACTTCGTGCTAGCGTTTGAATTATAGAGACATTGTTTTGCTCATATCCAATCCCCAAGCACCCGCGCAGATGTGAAACTCGCTTTTCGGTCTGTAGCTGCATGGCTTTACATACTTTCCTCAGGTATTCATCCTCCATCTACCATGTACAGTCAAGCCTGTATATAAGAGTCACTCAATAGAAATTCCATAAGTCAATTTTTTTTAACAGGTGTCTGCTGTACAGATGGTATTTCACTATAAGAATATGACCTTTCATATATGACCCTTCAGGCTGATTGCAAAACTGTCCTTTATGTGCAGGTGTCTGTTCTATAAAGGTGACAGCTAACACAGGCTTGACATATAGAAGTTAGTGTAAGCTCATCATATACATATCTTTAACTTATATAGAAAGGGAGGAAGTGGCAGAAAGAACAGCAAGATGTGTCGCTGCACACTGTACGGTTGGTTACCTTGCAGGTGTGATCTAGTGAAGACGTAACAACTCTGGCTCTAGCTCCGCCAATGCCTACGTAAAGGTCTGTGACAGGCAATGAATGATGGGACCAGCTGTACTTAGGCTCTGCCTCCCCAAGAGTACTTCTGTCCGGGCACAGCACACTGTAAAAAAACATGCCACGGGAAAGTTAGTATGGTATTTTCTGCATTACCACACTGCGTACATCAAGTCTTATACATTTTTTATTTACTTAGGAAACAATGAAATGGATAAGGTCTAGCCTTACTACTACTAGCATATAAGATAACCTAAGTAACTATCTTACATTGAAACCTCAAAACATTTTAACATGTTGACATTGTATCAGAATTGCATACTAGGTTGGTTATCACATAATATAAATTTTAAGGTGGAAGAAATTATACCTATTTAAATTCCACACAAGCACCAGGTTGTCCTCACCACCTGACACAAGGTGGGAGACGTCATCTGTGAAGCTCAGACAGTTCACAGTTTGGTAGTGTCGCGACAGCACGGTGAGTAGTTTTCCCGTAGACACCTGCAGATAATTCGAATTTGTAAGAAATTATGACAAATACTGCCAACTCTTCTAGTATGTATGTATACATTAATATCTCTTGCCAAACTGATTTAGTCATATCTGTGAGTGGAGCGGAATGCCTCGGCATGTGATCTTTCCTAGTAACATGGGAACACAATACATTAGACAAACATGGTCTCAAGAAAACTTGGTTAGAAAATGACATTCCTGCACATAAAACGTTGATGAATACAGCAGGTCATATCTATAGGGCTTGCGGCACCATTTATACACACCTCAGACCCAGTGAAAATGGTGATGCAATTGAGTATACTATATATATATTATATCAGGAGTAGATAATAGAAGAGTAGATCTTCTATTATCTACTCCTGATTATATTATATATGCTGTATACTAGTTTTACATACACGTAATAATCTCATTGGACAATGAATGTGCTTGCTACTATGAATAAGACCAAGCTGCATCAGTGGCATGGCCCAATGATTAAATAAACAGTAAGCACCTCCCATATGTGAATGCGCTCCGAGATTGCGGCTGCACAGTAGCTGCCATCGGAGGCAGTGGTCAGTGCTGAGACCCGTCCTGGACAGACTACTTTCTGACAGGTTTGGTCCTAAAAAATTAACATACAATAAATTCTATAAGATAAGTGCTAAGGTCTGAACTAGATAATTTTGATTTACTCTTGCACATGTATATCCCTATCAATATTCTGCTAGACAACTTGAATACTGCTAGCCAGATAGATAGCTTAGTTGATGATATAAAAAAGACAAGTATAGCATGTAAAATCTGTGAGAAAAATAAAATGATGGCAGGCATTATATCTATCCCAATTTCTGTGTCGCAGTGAATACACGCTATCAGAATTAAGTACATAAACAAATTTATTGTGACATAAATCACATAATAATGATAAACTCTAAGTTAATTATGATGTACATCTGATAGTGATGATAAACTAGAAAATATTAGTCAATAACTTTGAATCTAACCAGCTACCAACCTTTAGTTTAGGTAAAAAAATATTTTCAATATCCAGACGTTTAATGTAATTTCAATTTAAAATTTCTTAGTACAGACTACAGATGGGCTTGTACATTCTTAGCCCAATCACACCCCCATTTATGACTGTGCTAGCTGGTTATTACAAATAAATCTACCAACATTCTACAAGTTTATATGCCATCACTACAACATTTGTACTCCTCAATACTACTAGCAACTCAGACGAGTTTATGAATAGGTCTTGTAGTACATTGAATGTTACCCTTTGCTGTATAGTCCACACATGTAGCAGCGGTTTGTTGTTTAGAGCACTAATCAAGTACTCCCCACGGAGAAGTGCGAGCGTGCGGGGTGCACTACTTCCACCCTTGAAGGTTCCTAGTACCGTTCCTGAGTGCACATCCCAGACACAGATGTTCCATAATTGGCCGCTTACCTCACTGGTGAGGATTACCTACAGTATACAGAACATTACACACGTTGAAATACATGTGTACATGTCATACTCATACTCATAGTCATAGTCATACATATATATATTATAGTCTATAGACAAGGCTCGACACTAACTTTTTTTTTCAGTGGCCCGATCA